ACAAATGCCTCAGTTTACACTACTGTAAATATAATCTCAGTTGAATCCGTTGTGCATTTGAATTTAATGGGATCTGATATCTGTAAATCTTAAAAAGTTTTGCAGTTAAAAAGATAGTGGTGTGAAATATTATCAGTAAGTGCTTTATATTTGGCTAGTCTAGTTGCACAAATATTTGCTACATTGTGATAATTGAACTATTCATACTTGTTTTCTATTTCCTCCTAGGCTCTGCTTGGATGATGCTATCTCGACCCTTTGTGGAATACTGTATTTGGGGGTGGGACAACCTCCCAAGGATATTGTTGATGTATTACGCCAACTTTGTTTCGTCCCCTGAAGGGTATTTCCATACAGTGATATGCAATGCAGACAAATTCAAGAACACCACTGTGAACCATGACTTGCACTATATATCATGGGACAATCCCCCGAAACAACACCCGCGTTACATCACTCACGACGAATACCCAAAAATGGTGGAGAGCAATGCACCATTTGCCAGAAAATTTTACAGGAATGACACGTTGCTTGATAAGATTGACTCTGAATTTCTTGGTCGCAAACCTGGTGGTTATGTTCCTGGTAGTTGGTTTGATGGAGGAGATGCAAATACAAATGCCTCAGTTTACACTACTGTAAATATAACATTGTTGAGACCTGGGCCTGGTGCCAAGAGACTCAATAATCTCATATCCACGCTGTTGACGGATAAGGATTTTGACAGTAAGCACTGTGTCTAGTGCGTGACAGAAGTAACTCAAGTAAGTTTATATAGGCTTACTCGTCATTGAGCAATGTATCACTTTGATCATTGATTTATGCCCGATAAAGGCACTTACGAAATAATCATGGCCTGGTTCATGATCACACTGCTAGGAAGGATAAAGTAGGCACAAAAATTTGTATACGCTTTTTTTAAATCTTTATACGATAGAGCTTTTTAAACGGATTTTCCCGTTTAACATTGCTGTTATATACTCCACATATTACAGTACAGACTGTATCAGTAGAAAAATATATGTGATGGTACTTTGTGTTGGGAAATAAAAGGTTAGATATTCAATTTTATTTACTAATAAAATTGCCAAACAGGCCTTGAGAGGCAGCTATGATGGCATCTATTCTGTGAGAGGATGTCTTTGTGTTGGCTTCATTATGATGATAATTTGCGTAAACACTGATGATTTACAGCATTGGGAAATCCTTTTATTGCAATCTTCTACATGAAGTTCTCATACAAATGCTTCTGTCTGTGCCTCAGAAATGAATCCACACTCTTCAATTCTAATAATGATATATTGGGTGGATTTAGACATTTAGTTTTTTGAAATAGCATTCTTTGATTTTGTTTAACCTTAACAAAATTAAATTCACTATTTGTAACATTCTTTGATTTTTGCGAAATAACATTCTTTCATCATACAGAATATATAATTTTATGGTGCAAATAACACAAAAAACTAATGATGTTTTTACATTGCAACACATTTGTTAACACTTTTCCGAAAGAATCTTAAATATATAGTAATGTTTAGAAATAATATTTTATACGGACAATATTAAATTGTGATATAAAAATTATAAAAAGAAAGAATTGGACACAAGTATATTTTTTTCAATTTCAAATTTTTAATTTATTTCTGTCTATTTTTGAAATTTATTTTATCTATTTATAGTCAATTAGGGTAAATTTTCTTCTTTATAGGAACATGACGAGTATATATGTATTTCCACAAAAACTTCAGGCACTTATTTGTTCCAAAAAATAGAACATGGATGTATTTGTTTCACACCCATACTATAAGGGTATATTTATACCTTTTCCCAATAAAAAATCGTAAAAAAATGATGTATAATAATAAAAGAAAGGTTTTAGTTAAGAAAAACGTTGTCGGGTAAATATGTTGACGGAGTTGGATTGCAGTAAAAACTGAACTGATTGTGTAGTAGTGTATAAATTGATGTAGAATTTGATTTATTGACAAATAATGGTTGCTTTTCAATATTTTAATTTCAATCCCATCTTTCACCCGTTTAACATCATTTGTATTTTGGAAGTTTAGTTTGTTAGAATATATTTAGGTAATAACTAATATTCTAATGTTGGTCATGTAATTAGGGTTATATTTTATTAATATAGTTCATATAATTCTAGACTCTTATTGATAGACCGAACATAAGTTTAAGTCTGTTTAGGATTAGGATTCTCCAACCCTCACCTCTGTCTCTGTATTTATGTATATTCCATATGGAATATCAACACAATATAATTGAGAAATATCGATCTGTCAAGAATATCGGTGTTGAAATATCTACCTGCAAACTCTTCTGGTTTGATCAAGATGGGAACAAGAAATCTAGGTGCAGTGCCTTTCACTTTACCCACATATCTTGATTGCAAAGCCATCTTGGAAAGTACTTTTTAAAAACCTTAGCAACAAGAATCCGGAGGCCGTATTTAATGTTTGCTTATGCACTTTCTTACCCATGGAGCTTATTGCTACAACACTAAGATACATCCCAAGCTTCCAACCATGAGCAGCATAAAAGTCGACCCCAGAGGCCACATGGAATGAAAAAGACTTAAATTAATATATTAGAAACTCATATATGTCCATCACAACAAACACAATCGACATCAATCTAATCATGGATTATAGGATTAGACATATAGTCAATCGTTCTCAAATAAGTGCAATGATTCGCTAATCTCAAAACAGGCAACTTGAAGCTTGTACTAACTAAACTGACATTCCTACCATTCAACCTAAGAAACTTCTTCCTCCTACTAATAACCAAACACAAACACACCCCATAAGTTAGTGCAATAGAAATCAACACCGAGTAATAGTAAGAACCAGACACAGTCTAAATACTAATCGAAAAAACCAATGAAAAAAGTGATGGTAAAAAACTAGTCTTCAAAGTACCTGGTGGGCTTGAAGACCACCTGATTTGTGCTATTCAGTACTGCACAAACACCACATTTAAAAATGTTTTTACGTTGTGTTTACTCAATTTTTGTACAATTACAATGTAATCTTTATTTTCTAAATAAGACTAGAATTGGAAAATATTAAGAGATTTTGGCACTTGAGCAATAAACATAATGGAAAAGAAAGAGGAAATCACGCGAGAGCATAGGAAAGAGCTTGGAGACAAAGGGAAACTTCATGGGAGACAAAGAAGGAAGAAAAATTCGATTTGGTCACACATCCAGTTGGGTATATCCAATAACTTAGGTAGTCTTTTGATATTAGTTTTGCTACATTAAAGCTTGTGATTTATTGTGATTGTTTCTTTAATCCCCCTCTCTTGAATATTAATTATTTCCTTAATCATATTCCATATTGATATTTGAGATATGCGATCAATTAGTTTATGTTTTCATATTGATTATTACTAATATTGGTCGATGAATACATTTGTTATTCACTTGGTCACTTCATAAGTAGTAGCATTGAATTATTAATGCATGCATCTCATGATTAATAATCTAAGAGGGAGTAGTTATATTGGTTGAACAAAAACTGCTTCTGTTGAGGCTATTATATCTTATTCGATTTAATTAGATGACCAATGGATGAATTAGATAGAATAAATGGACTTGAGATACTAGTTGTGACAGTCGAGACTACTCACCTCGAGTTAGAAGTTGCTCCCTCCGCCGCCCCACTATAATTGTCTCATATTTCATTTTTCATCCGTCCCACTAAATTTGTCTCATATCACATTTGGTAATATTTGTGTGACTCCAATTCATTCTTACTTTATTCTCACTTTATCAATTCATTATCAATCACATAATTTAACTTTTCTTAAAAAACGCACCACTTTCTTTTGTCCCAAACTTAGCGAGACGGGTGTAGTATTATTCTTAGTTGATTTCATTAAATCGACCGAATGTTATTGTTTGGATCGATACTGCAGGACGCTCGTTCTATATTAACTAGTAATAAGCGTTATTAAGGAACGCGTCTCGTTATTTATAACTACCCTTGATGAATTGGACGGTTTAATCTCCATGATTAAATATTCAAGAGAAAGAAAGGAGAGTAAAAGTAGTAACCATAATCAACAAGCATTTCACTGAGTGGGAAATAGTAAAAATAAGTCCGATTACCTTTGATATTTTAATCCATTTATCTTAGTATTTTATTTACTGTCTCAATTATCACAATATTAAACATCGTTCCGTTTACTTTGATTTTGTATTGCCTACACATGCATGAAAAACATTTTCCCTATTGATACGAATTCTACTACATTATACTCCGATATTAGTGTTTAGTTATGATTTTATTTTGAAACACAAGCAACTTTAGTGTCGTCACCGCCCCAACCTCGTTTTTTTGCTCTAGCTGATTCCGCCTCCATCAGTGACGGGCTATCCTCTATCTCTTCCTGCTCTATTTGGTGACACTTTTGTTCTGCCATTGACATCCCATCAATCTATTTCTCAAAGATTTTGAAGATCTTCATCTTCATGCAGACACCCATACACCATATTCACTGAAAAAACACCTTCTTGAAATCTTCCTCATTGTGTAGAAGCCTCTACAAGAATTTCTTCATGTCATATACCCCATCAATCCTGTTAAGAAGTTTTCGTTTTCTTTTTTTAGCAGTCTCAAAAAGAAGTTTCCATTTTCTTAAATGAAGAGTTGTCTACATCAAAACAGTGCCAAAACAGTGCAAAACAGTGTCAAACCGTGTCGAAACAGTGTAAAAATAATAAAATTTACCCCCTGGTAAGTTTATTTCCTTAATATGTGTAAGTCAAACCGGAAAATTCTTATCGGGACGGAGGTAGTATATGCTTCTACACCTGTCAAGCCCCGCCTAAACCGAAGCAATCTTGAACCCCGTCTAGAAAACCCAACCGCCTAAACCGCATCCGGTTTTGTCAAATAGAAATATTGCGTAATAAATTGATACGGCGTAAATTTAATACTCCCTTCGCGGTATTTAAAAGTTTTCTACATTTTCCTTTTTGGGATGTATTTAAAAATTCTCTACATTTTTCCTTTTTGGTAAGTTTTTCCTTTAAAAATATTCAATTACCCTTATTTTTTTTTTTATCTTCTTTTTTCTATACTATTCATTATCTTTACTATTTTTCTTAAATGTTATGCCAAAATCACACGTAGCACACACCGTTAGTAGCATAGTATAGCAGATGCAAAATTTATTTGAAAGACCTTGGAAAATGTCATTGAGATTTTTTTTTAATTATACCGTATCGAAACTGCACCACTTTTGAGAGATTTGATGTGCCAATTCACTGACTATCCCGGACCCCGAAACTAGAATACTCGATTGTGTTCTGTCCAGTCAAGTCCAGCCCTAATCGTACGATATAAAAAAGGGCGGGCATTCATCTTCCTCTTCAGTTACCATATTCGCTACAACTTCCCACCAAGATTATTTCCGCAGAAGATTCTGTAAGTCTTATCCCACCCCTATATTCCTTCATTCATGCCGCCTTTAAGCCGTTCTTCTACATGTTTCTTCTTATATTATTCAATCTCATAATAACTAGGGTTTGTGCATGGTTTTGCCCTTTCTTTCTACGTAGTATATATGTTTCATTTGTTGGTTCGCCATTACAATTTTTCTCTCTACTTTGTGTTTTTGCAGGCTTTCCTCCCGGTTCAAGAAGTCCTTCAGGCAGGTTTCCTTTTGTTCTCTTACAGTCTTACCGTCTGAACTGGCAACTGATCATTTTGTTGTTTTTCTCTTGATATTTTCATGTTTCGTTTTGGTAAATAGCTTGAAATTGAAAATAAGTAAATAATCATTCTTACCCAAAATAAGTGTTCACAACTTTTCCCTTTTTGAAAAGAAGTATGTGATTCAAAATATTTCATGTATTGAAATTTCAGCCATAACTTTTACCTTTACAATCACATTATTAAAAATTGTGTCAAAACCAAAGGAGACATATAAAATGGGATGGATATAGTATATATAGTAAGGTATATATCAAAGATAAATACTACCTCCGTCCCACTAAGATTGAGACAAGAGAAGGTGACATGATTATTACGAAAAGTGAATTTGTGTGGTTGATATTAAATTGATAAAGAAAGAATAAAGTAAGAATGATTTAGAGCCACACAAACTTTACCAAATTCGGTATGAGACAATCTTAGTGAGACTTCCCGAAAAGGTAAAATAGGACAATCTTAGCGGGATGGAGGGAGTAATTAATACTTCAACAGATATTATAATGTGTGAGAAAGTATTTAGTCTTCACCAGTTTTGTTAATCCCGGATAGCGACCAACCCCAAAAATGCTGTAGCGATATAGCACATAAGGGGATGACCGCTATTTAGATAATATATGTGCAAAGTGCATACGATAGTATTATACGTGTGCATACAATTACATGTCATGCACATATCACATTGTTAACTTTTAAGCATTATCAACTACTACGGGTAGATTAAATTGAAAATTTTGCAAAACACCTTTTCCAAGATTTTCTGAGATATGTTCATAGAATACCAAATTGACTTTTTAATCTTTACTTCGCATCTGTTTTTGTTTAATTTTGCACTTGTATCACATCATAAGCTTTTGAGCATTCTTCCAACCAAACACGTATAGACATAAGAGTATTTGTGTCTTTTGTTAGGGTATGGTGGTGTTAAGTCCGTTGTACATAAAGTTATTACATCTACCTCCGTCCCAAATTGATTTGCAAATTTGACTTTTCTGGGTCAAACAGTTTCATTTTATTCACTTAATTATGCTGATAATTTTTAATTATATTCTAATTTGTTTTTTACAATTTTGAATAGATTTTACTGTAGTTTCTCAATATAAAAATTTTATTTATTAAAAATTGAATTAATTATCGATAGAGATAATTGACTTTTATTACTAGTTCACTAAAAAATGTTGGCTTTGCAAAACAATTTAGGACGGAGGGAGTATGTCATATAGGACATTGTGAACAATGACATAGGTAATAAATCGGAAAAGTAAAATTGTGTGATTGATATTTTTGTTTAAAAGAAAGATAAATGAGTAGAGTAAATAAATTATGGAGTAGTTTCTTTAATAGCAAAATGGCAAAATTTTCGAGACCACAAAAGGTAAAATTGACAAATTTCTGTGGGAGGAAGAGTAAATTTAGTGTATCATTTTTAAAAATCCATCTAAGCCACCTCAAAACTTTCTACCGCCCATCCCATTTTTTTAGCAAAGCCCATACAGCAAAAGTTTGTATCTAAAAAACTAATCTAAAATAACAACAAAAATATTATGCATAAATAGATAATGTAATCACCCCTAGGAATACTAATGATTCAACTGCTCAAGTGCAGATCAATAGACATTTCGGCATTATTTAAATATTTGGATAACGAAATAAACAAAATTAAGCTAGTATAGAATAGCAAATTAGGTATCACCTATATCTATGCATATAATAAGCTTAACCGCTTAAGGCATATATAAATAACTCCGTGAAAAATTGCAGCTCAAATGAGATATAAGATTTCTTCACTAGGATAATTGCCTTTACTTTAATTTCTTACGTACCGTGAATTCATGTGGACCTTTAATATTTAGTTTAATTACATTTATTTTTGTCTATACTATCGGTTACCCACTGGATGCCAGTCTACCAATGTTTCAGTAAAAATTCAAAGTCATCTATATGTTAGCTGATTATTGATAGGTTATGAGACAAACAAAACAGTAAACTAAATATAGTTTTATAAATAATTAAGCTAATTTGGCAGTTTGGCCATATAAAACTATGAAGTATGAAAGTTTATTGATCTTGATTATACTGAGTTGTTTCAATCAATCTTGGACTAATTTGGCCATACATTTCAAATGTCCAAACAGTATGGCAAATACAAGTGCGAATGTGGGAGGTGGAAAAATGTCTGAATCAGATGATAGCCATAAGCTGGTAAAAATACCTGATGATCTGTTGATTAAAGAATTTGACAATCCAATTAAAGCTATAGTTCAGAGCACGTATCCGAATCTGCATGAGCAATACCAAAGCCAGGAGTATATGAAGTGCAGAACTATTTTGACATCAACGGTTGAAAGCGTTGATAAAATCAACGACTATATTCTTTCTTCAACCCCAGGTGGTTTATTATATAAGTTATTTTATTCTTTACTTGAACTTGAGCTTTTAATCTTGGTTATCATTTGAATCAACTCTGATAATGTTTGGTGATTCTAGGTGAAGCAAAAGAATATCTTAGCGCTGATTCTGCTGAGAAATTAGGAGGACCTGAAGGAGATGCCCTTGCAGCGTTGACACCTCCCGAGTTTCTAAATACTTTAAGTTTGCCTGATTTTCCCAAGCATAAGCTAAAGCTCAAGGTTGGGACCCCGGTCATGCTTTTGATGGACATGGATCCGTTTCAAGGATTGTGCATTGGAGCTAGATTAATTATCACAAGACTTGGAAATTTTGTACTCGGAGCAAAGATGTTGTCGGGAGGCAATGCTGGAGAGGAGATTCCCATTCCCCGCATAACTATGTCTCCTTCCCCATCACCACCATGGCCTTTCAAACTAAAGAGGAGACAATATCCTATAGCGGTCTGTTATGCAACGACAATCGACAAGTCTCAAGGTCAATCGTTTGCGAATGTTGGGTTGTATTTGCCTAGGCCTGTCTCTAGGCATGGAGAACTATATATGGCATTATCCCGAGTTGAAAGCAAGCAAGGATTGAAGATCTTAATACTTGATGAGGAGGGCAAAGCATCAGACACTACCACCAATATTGTCTACCAAGAAATATTCCGCAACCTTAAATAGGTAAGTTCACTTCCACTTATGTTTGCAATAAAATGATTTGACCATTTTAACCCCATGACATGCTTTGAGAGCAGGAAGCCCCACTGTCCATAACATTCAGGTGTTGTAAAATGTAACATTTTCTATAGGAACAAAATACTTTGAAAGCAAATTGATAGTTATATTGGTAAAACCCTTAGAGATAGTTATATTGTTTATCGTTAAGTTGTGCAATAAAAACCAGACAATACTATTACCATTTATTAAACATAACATTTTCTAAAGAAAGTATCAACTAATTCTTACTTTTTCTGGCACGTTTTGAAATATGCAGGAGGATGAAGCCTGGGCATTGAGAGTGAACAAAACCGTGGCTAATCAAGTAGAACTTTAAATCTAGCGCATGCAGTATTATTGAATTTTCCAAACTTTATTGGTTCTTATATGGGATCTTTTTGCCACACTAATCATTAGTTTTCTATGTTTTGTTAAACGCAATTTGGCTTTAACACATACTCCGTACTTCTTTTTCGGCAAGACCTTTCTAATTAGTATGATGAATATTTTGCGCCTATGTATGATGTGTAATACTTTAATGTGTGAATGACAAAATGACAAAATGGGATAATCAAGTAATCGTTTAGATTAATTATTCGTGTGGTAATTAATGTTAACGATAAAAGACGATCACAACTTTTACAAAAGTTAATACGGAGTATTTCGTATCACATAGGCACATAGCTCATCTTTTGGTCTTTTGGACTTGTAGGATTATATTCTGGGCAAGTCTGTCTTTGATTATCGATCTTCTGTATAGTTGCCAACGTGGGGAGTCTTGGGTAGTTGGATACTTGAATGTTGGTAAATTTACGCTCAACATTACAACGGTCAATATTTCACATTTACCAACACACGTCTTTGGCCGTAATTATATCTTAATCTTTGTTAGTAAAAAAAATTAAAAATTGGATTTTGAAACTTTGTAATGAGATGAAATGCACAATATCTTTTAAACAAATAATTTTCATAAAGTAATTGTGTGAATTGTAGTCAAAGTAGAGCATGTGAATATTATAAAATTGAACATGTTGCGATTAAAAAGAAACGGATGATAATATATTGATTAGTTGAATTGAACTTACCAATACAACTTGAATTGTCTTAGTGAAAGCCTCTCATATCGCACAAATACTTTGTATACATTTTTGTACACACCAAATAGTTTTTTCGAACAATTTTTACTTATCAAATGAGATTATATATAAATCTTAGTGTGAAATAAATCAATCTCACCAGCGGCCGTCTCCCTTGAATATATAAGGGTTTCCAGTTTTTGACGTCTTGTGTGTGGCTAGAGTTTTAGTCGTCCATTGGTGCGGCGATTGGTTTAGCAGAGAAGGAAAACGTTCGCAGGAATATCGCTAGTCGTGTTGTGGTGGCAGATGGAGAAGAAGTTGCGGGAGCCAAGGGAGGGAGGAAGGGAGGCGTCCAGAGGGGTTGAAAATGTGGGCCCGACGAAGGTTGCTCGTCAGGGAATCAATCGAGCGACAGACGGGAATCGTGCCTTGCTCGTGTCAACAATCAGAGCGATGGTCCGGCCTCCTCCTGAACCACCTCCAGGGGTTGAACGAGGTGCTAGAGTTCAAGATATTTATTTTTCTTATTTAGTTTTTTCCATGTTTCGTTCTCTTCCTATTGGTTTTTATTATTTTTTTCATTTGGTTTCTTGTTACCTTCTATATTCTTAGGTTTGTCAGTTTGTTTGGGAATATAGTCTTTTTTATGTCATTGAGTATGTTTGGATCTATGATAACATGAATGGCTGTGACAAGCCCGCTGCATGGTTAGCGATTCGTGTTGCTCTTTCAGGGGTGACCGTCTTTGATTCTGATCATAGGGTTTACGTACAGTCGTAGTTGTTAGAGTTTAGTTGGTGTCAGATCTATTTTTCTTTTGAATGATGTAATTTTTGATTGATGTAATGATCCTGAAACTTATGATATGAAGAGACAAGTTTCCGTTAAAAATAAACTAAGATATGTTTGTCGCATCCAAAACGTCACTTGTGTATATAAACATATTTTCGAAGTACACAAACAAGGTAAATCAATGTCACGGAGACATTAAATGTGTATATTTTGATACATGAGACATGCTTGTTTTGTTTATTGTTAATGTTTGTGAACTCATATTGAAAATACATAAACATTACCAATTGAAAAGTCATTAACAAAAATATTACTAAACATTATCTCATATTTAAACTAATATAAAACCGTTTTAAACATTCCGTATTTGACCTCTGCCACTTCTCCCGTCCTAGTCTCCTTATTTGCAACAACTCTTTCCTTTTACTCTCCAACTAAAATTTTCACTCTTGAATCCTATCAATTATTTACTATAAATCCAAAGAACTCTTCACTATCAAGGACTATCTCTTTACTTGTAATTCATTACTTCAAATACATTAATAGGCACATATGAACGGTACGGTCTTTTGTCAGCGATTCACACTCCGATCTTACACATAATTATAACTCCATAACTATTTTCCCTTCCAAAATATAGTTACTACAACCTAACCAGAAACATTACTCTTGAGATGGATGAAATTATTTAAAAAATCATTACTTCGTACTCGGTACTACGGCTCCCTTAACTATCTTCCAAATGAATAGTTAATGCTACTTAAGCAAATACATCACCATTATTTTTACGGTAGTTACTAAAAACTCATTACTTTGATCTACAACTCCATTACTATATGCCATTTATCTTAAAGTAGTTACTACAGTACTCCCAGAAACACCATGCTCAAGTCTGTCTAGTTACGTTACTACAAAATTCATTACTCCATTCTCTTCCACAAATTAGTTACCATCATGATCATAATTGGGGTGCCTACGTTGCTGCATAATTCCATACTATCTACTGTGGGCAAAAGTTTTAGGCATCATGTTAATTATGAGAATTTTAATCACCCTAAGCATTTAGGATCTATTTACAAAATTCAAAACTACAGGAGAAGAAATGTTAAGTCTTGTTTACAAATGCTTTCCGACTGAATTGAGTCGTCTCCAACTTCCGTGTGTTAGTGAACTCCATCTTTTCCGCAATATGATTTTATGTAATTTCAATAAATTCTGCCATTCCATCCCTATATAATCTTAACCGTCTTGGGCAATAACGTGATTTCACTTGTTTAGTTACGGTTCTACATGTGTCTTAAATACTCATGGTCATATTTTTGTAAACCCAATTTCTTTTGATAATATTTATATAAAAAACTCATATTCTTTACCAAGTTTGATAAAAGAGTGTTTCTTTATTGTTGTTGTATTTGGAGTATTCGATCTTTACCAATACATTTTTATAACTTCTCAGCTCGTCTTCTCCAAAACTAGCATTGGCGGATTGGCCTATATCGTCCTTTTTGCGTGACTTACAAAGTAATTAAGTACTAATACTTGGTAATTAACACGAGTCAGTGAGGAGACTTGAAAAGGTAGTTATAAATTTATCTCTAGATATACTTCTTCTCTTACGTTGTTGATATCATTATTTTCATGAATGCATCCTGGATTTGTAATTGAGGGGTGAAATTTTTTCACTCTGCCTATTTTTAATTAACAATATATATATTTTCATTAGCATATATACTACAATTAAAATTTGAATGTATCACACGAAGTTTACACTATGAAAAAAGTAATACTACGTATGTAGTACTCCCTCCGTTTCTAAAAGAACCTCACACTTTCCTTTTTTGGATGTGCCAAAATAAAAGTCACACTTCCCTTATTTCCTTATTTGGCAAAAAATCTACATCCAAATAGTGCCAAACAGTGCCAAACAGTGTCCATACAGTGCCAAACAGTGTCTAAACAGTGTTTTCTACAGTAAAGTCAATTTATTTCCTTAATAACTGTGAAGTCAAACCGTGACTTTCTTTTAGAAACGGAGGGAGTATATAATTGACTAATTGAGTGCTCTAGAAAAAAGTGTTAGGTAAATTAATGGCTAAGTAATGCCAAATCCAAAGAAAACTATTACGGAGTATTACAAAAAGTATTGCTCCACATATTACAAACACTGAAACACATGCCTTAGTATGTTAGGTTAATTGAGCACTATGTACTTGTATTGATTCAATGCATGCATATATGTGTACTATCTACTAAATTACGTTGTAATGTTGTATCATTTTATTCTCTTTTTGTGGTCAATTTTAATCACTCTTCAACGTGAAAAGTCTAATTGAACAATATTCAGCATGCAACGAATCGCTATATTAATTAAATAAGATAGTTAATCCTTCTAGAATGATCTTTTATATTCTTGTCCAAATGACATACTCTATATTTTTGTTTTTATCTTGACGCAATATCCATGTATCATAAAAATATAAATACCTATATGCTATCGTTAATTGTTGGTGAATAAGTTGCAAATCGTAGTTGAAACGACTTTTCCTTCAACCATATGTCCAACCTTGTATGCTGATATGTACACTTTTCTTAATTGCATTCAAATATTGATATTGCATAATCATGAGCTCCATTTAAATCGAAGTCCAATAACATTGTTGAGACATATTAATCAAGTTGTATGCTTATGCAAAGGAACACGGTTAATTGCAGGGGCGGACCCAGGAAATTGATATTGGGGGGGCGATAATTTAAACAAAAAAAAAAATCTAGGCGATTATTATTATAAGTTATAACCTTAATATAATACGGAGTAGTAATTAAATGAAGCATTATAATAGAAGAAGAGACAAATATATTATTACAAAATAGTTAAAGTTAGTACCGTAGAATTGTACACAACGCTTCCTCAATCACGGCTTTTTAGTCAAAAGTTTTAGCAATTTCTCTTTCAATATAAACAATAAGGTTGTCTGCAACATACTCATCCTCCATTTTATTGCGAAGCCTTGTTTTTATAATTTTCATTGCGGAAAAAGTCCTTTCGGTTGTTGCTGTCGAAACCGGTATAGTCAACAAAAGTCGGATCAATTTATCAACAAGCTAAGAAAGTACACTTTTGACATCTCCGTCTCTGCTAATATTTGACAAAGTTCACCCATTGTAGAAAAATTCGCCAACTTTGGATGGTTTAGAACATTGAGCTTATAATGTTGCAATTGAAACCTCAAGCTCACCTTCTCCTGCTCAATAAAATCAAAGGAGTAATATTTATCCATTAAAGAACAGATATCATCAATGTTAAAAGACTTATATGAGTCCTTAGGATCCAAAGCACCACTAAGAGTAAGAAGATCCATTATCTGTTCACCAAATCTGTTATTCAGCTCCAACAATTGCGAATCTATGGCTGCGTAAAACATATCAACCCGATAGTGACGTTCAATATCAAACCCTTCTTGATCATGGCGTTTGCGTTTTACCGCATAAGGAGACTTCATATTAGGAACTTCAATTTAATGCTTTGTGCAAAACTCTTTAACAATTTCTAAGAAGTTATCCCATCCACCCTCCCTTAACTTTTGGATCAACATTTTGGTGCTTGACACCAAATGCATAGCATTTACTATGTCTTGGCACTTCTTCTGTATATGCTGACATAGAAGATCTGTAATGTCCATAATTTCTTTAATAAGATGCAACAAGAAATCAAAATCAAAAGATTTAATCCTCTTAAGTTCTCTAGCTGCATTTCCACGAGTAGAATAGTTATTGTCATTCTCTTCAACATCTTCTAAAACAGAACAAGTTGCAGCAAACATCCTAATCAAATTGCAAATAGAACTGAAATGCGAGCTCCAACGAGTTTTCCCAGCTTGTTGTAATGTACCAACCTAATTAAGTCCTCTGCTTGTTTCAAGCTCACCAATTTCCAACATTCTTGCAATTTCAAGTGCTTGAGCTTCCTTTAATTCATCACTTCGTTTGCAAGAAGAATTAGTCACATTAATAATAAAGACAATGAAAAAATTGTGCACATATTTCACCTCTCTAGAAGCAGCAACCAATGCTAATTTCAACTAATGTGCTAAGCAATGAACATAGTAGACATAAGGACAATCATTTAAAAATAATCGGTCTTTCCGTTTCTTTCTTTTAGGTGCGCATGTTTTTCATTAGTTTGGTCAGGGCTGTGGGCTGGGATTAGATTTTGGGGTGGGTTAATGGGGAATAAATTTTGGAGTGAGTTGATATAATATTACTTGTAAAATTTCTATTTTTTTAGGCTCTTAAACAATTGGATTTCTGCGAGTGGGCTATGCTTTGGGGGAGAAAATATTTTTTGGGGGGGTTCAAAATTTTTCTTGGAGGGGCGAGAATTAAACGTTGGGGGGTAAAAATAATTTTTTTGTATATATATACACTAAAAAATTAAAATTGTTGGGGGGGGCGGCAGCCCCCCTGGGTCTGTACTACGGTCCGCCCCTGGTTAATTGTAATCAAAATAGGAAAGCACATGTTAAAGTCAAACTAATAGGTGCATAAGAGCATCTCCGCTCTTGATGCATTGCTGCTGATGTGGCAAATAAATGGAAAAGGTCTACACCAAATTTTAGTAAAAGAGTGTGGTCTTTTGAAGGACAATCCAATGTAAAAGGGGTAAAATGATGCAAGAAAACAAAAGAAAAGTTGTGCATGGTACACAAAGGGACAAAAGGACCTATCTTGCTTAGGTAACATGTCAGGAGTAACTGAGTTTGGACCTCAAGCTTTGCCAACTCAGATTTTGGAAGTTCATTTGTGTTATCATTGGAGAGTGGATTTGATTATAAGAAGTGTACTTGGTGATTTGGAATCTCAATCCACTCAAGCATTGGAGACACCCTAACATAAGACCCCATCTCGTTGTCACCATCATGTATTTGAGGAAAACAATCTTCTCACAATATGTTTTGTTAGGACAATCAATACTCCGTATAAATTATAGTGGCGTGCTATCACAAATCATTTATGGCTCAAGAGACAAGCTGCATTCATACAATAAACTACAAATTATTTATGAGGTATCTTTACCAAGACTGTGACTGATTCTATGAGGAGAATTTCTAATATTCAACAATGTGATATTTTGTGTATTTGATGTTCTACACAATAAACTACAAATTGTTTATATAATAAAGAAATCTTATAGTTCAAACAAAGTCATATGGTCCTTCGAGTTTTGCACCAATTCCACAATTAGTTCTCGTCTTTCACTTTATCCATTTTCGTACCTGACTATTGTTTTCTTGACCATATATAGTCCTTTTCCGGTAGTAAAAATGCCTAGAGATGAACAAAAAATGGTCAAAAAAACAATAGTCAGGTACCAAAAATGGATAAAGTGAAAGACAAGGACTAAATATGAAAATGACAAAAAATTCAGATGACCTAAAGTGGAATTAATTCTTAATCAAATGACAACATGTTTATAAAAATTCAAAAATTATAATCGAATCCAAACAAATCAAACCAATTAAGGTGCTGTTCTGTTCGTCTTATTCTTATTACTTATTGCTTATTCTTATTTTATTCAGATCAGATCAGATCAGATCAGAAAAATTCAGATCAGATCAGATCAGAAAGATTCAGATCAGATCAGATCAGATCAGAAAGATTCAGATCAGATCAGATCAGATCAGAAAGATTCATATCAGATCAGAAAGATTCAGATCAGATCAGACCAGATCTGAAACATTCAGATCAGAAAAGTTCAAACATGATTTATCACTTTTATTATTATATTAATTATTATTATTATTAATATTGTTATCACAATTATGATTATTATTATTATATAATTATTATTAATAATATTAATAATAATATGATAAAAAAATAAGATATTAATAATAGTTATAATATTTTAATATAATAATAGTAATATAAATGTAATTATTAAGAAGACCATCATCATCATCATCATTATCATTATTATTATTATTATTACAATACATTAATAATAATATGATTAATGGTAATATAATATTATATTATAATTATATGTAATTATAATTATAATTACAATTATAATTCTTATAATTATAAGTATAATCAATTGTATTTATTATAATTATATCTATAAATATTTATAATTATAATTGTAATTAATTATAATTATAATAATTATAATTATAATTACAATCATAATTATAATTGTGATTATAATTATAATTATAATTATAATATAATATTATAATAACATAATACTAATAATAATAATAATAATAATATTATTATTATATTATTGTAATAATAATATGAATATAATAATATCATTATTATAATATTAATTGTATTTATATTACTATTATTATATTATAATATTATAATTAATTTTAATATAATTATAATTATTATTAATTATAATTATAATAGTTATAATTATACTTATAATTATAATTTATGATTATAATTATTAATATTATTATTATTATTATTATTATTATTATTATTACTATTGTAATTATTTTACAGAGTAATTATAATAATATTGATAACTATAATTACAATTATAGAGATAAATATTGTAATTATAATTACAATTATAATTATATAAGTAATTATAATTAAAAATATAATTACAATTATAATTATATCTATATTTATAATTAGTGTAATAAGTATAAATTTTTTCATTTTAAATTTAATTTTAATTATTATTATTATTATTATTATTATTATTATTTTTATAGTTACGATTATAATTATAATTTTATTTAAATTATATTTGTAATTGCAATTATAATAATTATAATTATAATTATAATCATAGAAATATTCAAATCAGATCAGATCAGAAAGATTCAGATCAGATCAGAAGGATTCAGATCAGATCAGAAACATTCAGATCAGATCAGACCAGATCAGAAACATTCAGATCAGATCAGAAAGATTCAGATCAGATCAGATCAGATCAGAAAGATTCAGATCAGATCAGATCAGAAAGATTCAGATCAGATCAGATCAGAAAAATTCAGATCAGATCAGATCAGAACTTAAAAAATTCAGATCAGAAACATTCAGATTAGGCGAATAGAACAACTTCTAAGCCCTGGTTTCATACTTTCATGTTTCGAAATGGAAAATGGAAGTGAATTTAATTGAACTTTTGAATTTAATTTTGTACTACTGGTTTTGTTATTGACTTTTTGGGTCAAAATTGACTACGAGATAAAAGAAAACTGGAAGGCCGAAACTGTCAATTCCACTTTCAGATAGACCATTCCTGGAGAGTTGAGTGTTCATCCTCTCAATCTGCTGCAAAATGGAGTGTGCTCTCCTTTCAGCCTCAGCAATTCTCCCTCTGAGTAAGCATTCCTATTTCACCGCTTCTCTTTTTTCGTTTCCGACATTTATCAAGACTGTATAATTTATGGGTTTCTTCTGATTCTCTTGGTTTCGGTTCTTGAAAATATGTCTGAGTTCTAGAGTTCATACTCGAGATATATACCTTATAGTCAAAGAACACCAAAGATTGCAACTTTTTTTATATGTTCCTATTCTTTTGTTGTCGAAAGTTCATTTTTGTACCTCTCTTGATCAGCTAAAGATGTTCATGTAGTCTCAATGACATGCCAGAGCTCATTATTTGGTAATGGTACATATAAAGGTTTTATTGTGAGAAGAAATACTAGTTCAGCTGGCATAAGAAGCCCTCTCACTGTAACTTCAGTGGTAAGTGTTTTCTTCTGTTATCATCACTCGTAATATTTTTATTTTTAATGGTTACTGTTTATATTCTTACTTGCATTGTTTTCATTTCTGCTCTCCCTTTTGGTTGAATGAAATACTTCATTTGTTAAGTGTATAGCGATTGAGGCTCTTTTTTTGGCAGTTCAGGAGGAAAACAAAGAAGCAGACCATTGTCCCTGACCCAGATTATCGTATCCCGATTGTGCTTCTAGGTTTGAATTGAATACACTCTAGGTTTGAATTGAATACACTCTGTTATAGATTTGTGTACAACAACATCCAAGCCTTAGTCCCAAAAGAGTTACTTAGGTATGCGTTATGTTGTTCATTTGTATGCAGGGCTAAAATTCTAAACGATTGACATTTGACTGTAGTGATTTTCTTTGTCTTATAATATTATATTGCTATTCTGATATAGAAATGACTGAACATGAGCAAAACTTCATTCACGGATTCACCTGCACATATATAAAGTTGGGGTGGGTCAGCACAAAGAATTTTTTCATACAGTCTTACTCTAAAAATACAAGCAATTTTAAATTTGGAGTGGACCGGGACCCGGTCAGGCCCTCTACTTCCTCCCCAGCATATGAATAGTTAATTCTAAAGGACTCATTAGTCCTAAAAAGGATTGAAAATAGTTAATTCTTCTTCTTAATGAGTGAAAGATTCTTATTTTTCAAGAAAAAACAATGGGTATTTCAAAAAATGTGATACTTTCTCCATTATTTTTTAGTTGCAACGTTCTCATTTTCACGCTAGCCAACACACAATTTAGACCGTCATTATTTAATTCTCTATTAGTAAAAAACAATAAAAATCGGATTATGAAAATTTTTAATGAGACAAATTCAACAATATTTTTCAAAATAATAATTCTCATACATTGATAAACAAATTATAGTCAAAGTAAAGCATGTGAATAGTGTAAAAATATCCATGTTGCAATTAAAAAGAAATGGAGGATAGTATGTTCTAGTCATATATACAGAATTTTCATCTTTTTTTATATGCATGTTTGCGTGAAATCCCATATTTGTTATTGTTCCTACAAGGCAGGTTTTGTACCTTATTGGAATTATTATATGAGCAGGCACAGCTGGCTGTTTGATTTATACACATAATTTACTAGCAGCCGCTCCTGCAGGTCTTCTTGGATTACTCTTGTTATTCCAGGTAACCTAGGTCTTTTCTGATGTTGTATATGAAATGTCTAGAGATTGGCCATAGACTTGTTCACATTATACTTCCTTTTCATTTGGTCCATGCTACACTAATACAAAAAAGGTGAAAATGGTTTTTCCATCTGCAGACAACAAGAGTTAGATTTGTCTTTGATGATGAGGCTCTGGTATGTCCTCCTTCATCATGCTATTACTTTTAAGGGGGAATCAGGGGGTTCACCCCAGATTTTTATATAAAATTGAGTTTGCGCCCTTTTCTAATTTTAACATTTGCACCCCATTTATTCTTCTCAAGTAAAATAAACTAATAAGTGTTCCTTACTGGTAACGGAAAGTTACTCCATCTCAACAAAAAGTTGGATCAACTAGATCTATGATGCTATATTTTTCACCAATGCGCCACAATATATGGTCACAGGAGGTTAAAGTGGGGAGGCAACTAGAGGAGTCTGGCGAAAATGTTTTTGTAGGTGGAAAGAACCGCTGGAAGTAAGCAGTAGTGTAGAGTCTTGTGATCTATTTAATAAATTCTAATCAATTTACAACCTTACAATCCTACATTCCTACTTTTCTATTATCAGATACTCGTCGTTTGTGAATTGGGAACTTTGGTGGCCAAACTTCCCTGTTTTAGTTTATTTCAAAGAGAGACAGACTAAGCCTGAAGGCCAAGTGCACTTTTTCCCTGTAATATTTGTAAGTATCTAAAGTTCGTTCCTTAGAATAAGAAGAAATCACTGAAAATAAGAGTAGAACATTGGCCTTGTGCACAAATAGTAATATCCTAGTTTTGCTAAAAACAGGACCTTTATTTAGTTTCGAAGAAACAATCATAGTCCTATTTGATAAAAATGTTTTATGTTTCAAAAAAACCCTGAAGGCCATCTGATTATATCCCGGATGAAGTGAACTTCACTGGTTAACCACTTTGTTTATTGACAGTAGAACGGAAAGCATCTCTACGATGTAATGGTTGAAAGATGTGGCATTTCAAAAACTAGCGGCCCCAAGTAGACAGTATGACTGTATGAGCTCTAAGAACACTTGAAAACCTGTTATTGTCTCTACGCATAATATAAGCGACAAGGGAGGGGAGAACACATGCTTGGAGAAATCATGGATCCATATAATCCTGTGCCAACAAGCTATTATAGGTCATGCTTATATAGGCACGCATTCCACCAGAAACAAAACTGTTCGACCAAATGTCTCTGAGTGTTACAATAAGGTGTACTACATAATACAGTATTTATTTTGTTGGATGTTGTCAATTTAATTGGCATATTGTCAGGACATGATAAATGCTGTTGTATTGTCAGGACATCAGAAAATGGTTTCATTACATCATATGCAATAAATGGCCATTCTATTTCTTCATTGAGTACTCCATTTGTTCACTTTTACTTAATCCACTTTATTGTGGAAGTTTATTACTCCCTTAGTTTCTTACTATGTGATTCATTATATCCTTTTGGGATTTTTTTATTTGTTCCCTAATTTGGAAAATATTTTCACTCCAAAATAAATAAAACACTAATTTTTCATCTTCTTTTTCTTACTTTTTATGATTTCATTTACTTTCATTTTGTCTATTTCCAGATTTCATTTTCTTTACTATAATTCACTACACTAATTATTGGCAAATAGGCCTGCCTAACTATTGTCAAACCATCACTTAAATCTATCTACTAATTATAGTGTCACATTAGAATGTTTAGTATTTGATTACAATCAGATGTGAAATAGAACTTGTGACTCTCGGTTTATGTCTACGTGGATTGGGTTATTTATCAAATGTAAAAAAATTCCATGTCATTTCCATATCTTAAGATAGCTCTTCAGTCTTCCGTTATTCTGTCCTTCGCCTCAAATATAAAGACGGCTCCCATTCTCCATTTTGAACCATCTGTGTATTGCAAATGCGGTCTAAAATTTCCTTTGTGCATGGCACATGAAAGTAGTTGCAGGTACTTCGGTTGTCACAAATGGAAGGTACCAATTTCCTTTGTGCATGGCACAGGAAATTAGTTGCAAGTACTTCTGTTGTCACTAATGGAAGGTACCAATTTCCTTTATGCATGGCACAGGAAAGTAGTTGCAAGTACTTCGGTTGTCACTAATGGAAGGTGTACCAGTGAACCGTAATCTTCTTGCAACTATAATATGTTGAATTATCTTTCCCAAGGTTACTATATAGTGAATATAAATGGATGTAGGAAGGAGGATGTCAATTCTTTGCTTGAAAGTTGAAATGATGACATTGTATTTAAAAAAGGCCAAAATCCAAAATTATATTGGAAGAGTTGAAACAATTGATTTGTGACTTAAGAGATGAAACAATTGATTTGAGATTAAGTAGCAGTACAATCTCGAATCGGGGAAAATAAAAAGCCTAAATGCATAAGTGTAATGTTAATAGTTGTTGTAGAAGCAATGACTATGTTAATATGTGTTCCTCAGGAGAGGTAATGATAGTTTGTGCAATTGCAACATAATTTGTACCTCAAGTAATGATGTAATTGTATGCAATTGTAAGTGTGATACAAGAAGTTATGTAGTTTTAAGGCATATCTTAATTTGTGAGTTCATTGGAATGAAATCATATGTCTGAAGTTTGGTAATACATTTTGTGTGAAATGACCATTGTTTATTGGCAGTATTGCAAATTTGCAATGATGTAATATGTCAATAGTTTGATACGTGCTCTCTGTCTGATGTAAAGGAAGGATATTATTAGTGTGTATTGTAAATTTGTAACCCACGTTTGTCCGTATCCGTTCATGTAAAGGAAGAGTACTTTCCAAACAGAGTGATTAAATAACCTAATTAGGAATGTCAACCCTTTCTAGTTTCTATAATTGCTTCTAAATGAGAAAGGATCATGCGATCAAGACGAATGACATGCTCATGAGTCATGACCGCCCATGTGTGCGGGTCAGATAGTCCACGTGGCTACCTGACCTATAATACATAAGTTTTTTTTTTACTTATATATGTGTGTCAGTGTGTGTTTGTCAAAGTGTGTGTATGGGTTCACTTGTTTCTAGTAGACCATAGGGCTAACATCTAGTTAAATTAAGTACTACCTCTGTAACATAAATATCTTCTCACTTTCCTTTTTTGGACGTAACACTAATATCTTCTCATTTCTAAATCTTCCCATCATACCCTCAATAATTTTAAAAATAATACACTATTACACCTACTTTTTTTGGATTTATCCTTCATTTCATCACATTATTTCACTATCTTCCAATCATACCTCTAATAATACATATCTCCTTTCACTATTCTTAATCTACCTACCTTTCAAATGGGAACATTCCAATGTACTGTCCCAACTCCCATAAGTAGAAGTGAGGATCGTGACCTCACATGACTCTGAGAAGTGTGACTGAGGTGACAGAAACTCATAAGACTAGACTTACTACTTTGTACAGTGATTGTGTATAGGTGCACATTAACCAACCAAAGTTCGCTTCAGTCATTATACAAACAGTCCTTTCTTTTTTGTGTGGGAGAAATACATGGCCCAGCTTAATATTGTGTTCTAGACTGCTGAAACAAACAATCAAGCTGCATTATCATCTTTTCCAAAGTTGATATGATAGCTGTTCTCGACTTCTCGATGGTGATTTGCATTGAAAGTGATGAATGATATCTACACAAGAAATTCAAGACTTGTGGAAGCTCACAATTTAGCAAAAGAATCAATGAAGCTTAACATTTTAATGGAAAAAAAGAATACAGTACATATGCTCTCATTCCAAGAGTCCAAGATGATCAACCTGCAAAGCAATTCTAAAACACCAATCCTTATATCCTCCCACTTTGATCAATGTCGGGTATTCTCTAAGCTATGTCGTCAAGCAGACAGCAAACCCCCACTCTGTCATGAAGCAATTCTTTAGTGTCAAAGTGAGTTCTAATAAACCACCAGTAGCTTTTGAGTAATTGCCTCACCAAGAAACTGTTGCTTGGCTACATCCAATTTCCCAAAAAGAAAAAGTCGAATGAAACTGTATCAATCTGTCTTTGTACAGTGAGCATCAGTTCCAACCTTAGTGCAATGGTTGTACCCAATGGTATGTAAAAAGTCTCTGATCTCCTTTGCACTGCTATTGCTTGCTTGTAATAAGCGTTCATCTTCCTCATAGATTAGGTAAGGGGCCTCACCTGCCTTTCTTGACAGTAACTTTGAGGCACCCTTGAGAACGTGATACTCCCACCCCTGGACATCTATTTTGACCAGCAGAACAGATTCTGACTCCATAACCATGGCATCTAGAGGAACCGTCTTTACTTCAACTGCAATCTCTTCATTTGACTTGAATGCTAACTTTGCGCCAGTGGCTGACACCGCGCTATTATCAAGCCGGCCAACCAGCTATAAAAAATCATCAGTAATCAAATGAATGACATGTCAGCATAATAAATAAATCAAAAAAAATCTACAATGGTCATAAAAGTGACAAAAAAGTACAGCTCCAAATCAAAGAACGTGTATGCAACATAAACTCATAAACTTCTTTGCAATAATGAAAAAAATACAATAAAATAAAAGTACTAGACATAAATATGACTTTTGTATACAGATAACATTTTGCAATAATTGTAATGACGATGTTCAATTTTAGGGATGGGGATCCTCTGCTGTGCGGCAGAGTACCTTGCCATAGGGGAGCCGTCGGATGGGGAAGGTTACGCCTCGAGATTTGGACTTCGAAATCTTCAACCGTCAAAATATTGATCGGACGACGCAGAGAAGCCGGGCAGAGTGCCTTACTACGAAATAAGGCAGACACCCCGGATCCCAATTTTAGACTACAGTGACCATGTAGTGTAAAATATATTAAAAATAACCCCAATTTGTGTTCAATTTTTTCTGAAAAGATATTTTGCAAGGCATTATAGAGGCTTAAAAGGCATGCATACAGACCTTCAGGTTTAAGCTAAAAGAACTACTTCAAGTTTACTATAACTGATCCCACTTGGCATCATGCATTAGGTAACTAGGCCACTGAAGAAAGACCTAAATAGGGCAAGAATGTGAATTTCGATCTAAGATTACTAAAGCATCTAGACATCTGCAAAAAGCAATTTTGTAAAAATCGCCAGGAGCAGGGAAGGTTATAGGCAGTAGCCAAGTGCATGGAATGGATTGGTTGTGGTTAGGCTCTATCTAAAATCTAAATAGCATTAAGTGGCACCTAACTGGTATAAAAGATCTAGGCATTCAAGGACATCCCAATGCTTAGGCTGAGATTAATATAGTTAGGTGTTTGTTACAACATGGTAAAGAAAAAGAAAAGTTAGGGGGTGTCCCCAATACAGACTTTAATGGATTTTAAAGGAGTATAGATTCCATGGATTTTAATAGAATTCTATAGATTCCATGAGATTCAAAAGGAATTCTATGGAATTCTATTTCATAAAATTATATGGATTTCAATGGAATATAATTGATTTGAAACACAAGCCACGCTGCTCCAATCCCAAGTTTCACCATCGTCAACCACAACAATTTGAAAGCCAACAACTTTCATTACGCCGTTCAGTAAAATACTAATTCAGTCTCATCTACAAGTAACATCTGTGTGTGTGTGCAAATTCAGTTTGTGCATGGAGATGATATAGTTTGTCCACTTTGTTTATAGTTATTATATCTTCATGTGTGCTAAATTCAGTTTGTCCTTTATGCTGTTATGCATATTCGTACACGGAGGTGTGTGTATATTCTTTAGATGCATACCAATCAAACAAAACATTGAAATTCGTACCTATTGAATAATACATATCTGCATACCTATTCTTTTACAGATTAATTGCTTATAATTATTAATTATAAAAAAGAAAAAACACACGAACTGCTATATTCTTTCTTTTTTCATCGTACGAACTGCTATATTCTTTAGACAGGTGAAAATATTGCAAATAAAGAAAAAAATTGCTTGACTGTCTGACAGAGGCGTCATCTAACTACTGCAATCAAAGGAAAAAACATAAAACTGAATGGCTCTAACCTGGAAAAGCTCTGAATTGGAAGATGGAAGAAGCTTGAGTAAAATCGATGCAAGAGGGAATGTTGACAGAGGTTTGGATCGAACTGGCTCTAAACGTGTGCGGCTGTGTTTTTTAATTAATGGATTTGAAATCCGAGGGTTGCCAGGAAGATTGTTGGTTGATTGGTTTACTCAATATTTTGGCCTAAAACTCCATCAAAGTCTTTCAAAGTCCATTACAATCAACAATAAGTAAAATCCATTGAATGTTTGAGGATACTTGTATTTTAATAGACTCCATGGAAATCTATTAAAATCCATATTGAGGATAACTGGATTTTGATGGAATTCTAAATTCTATTAAAATCCAACAATCCAACAAAAAACATGTTTTTTTTCACAATATTCTAGCATTACTGCAAGTCTGTAACAAATGAACGGTTATACACCAATACTCCAGATGAGCTAAAATCCATAGAGGATCACTATAAAATTAAATAGGAACAACACGACACACCATCACTGCCACAAGGGTTCAATTACAGAATGCCTAATTCCATATGTAGCAAAGCTTAGGTTAGCTGTAATTATAACCACCAGGCCTGTCCCTTGAGGAGTTCATACGGATCACATGAACATGGCTTTAAAAGTAAGAGGCCCATTTTTAAAAATATATTAAACTCATTTCTATATAACTATACTTATTAGTCTAATACCCATATAACCATGTGAAATTGTGAACAACCTAACTTCTTCAACACTTAAAATTGTACCAAATATCAAAATAGCAATGTGCGTTTCTTTTGAGTAAGTAGAGTGGCTTGATTGTTCAGTTCGTTCGTATTGTTTTTATGCCACGATTTGGGGATGATAAGAAATGTTCAATGATCATCACACAGAAAGCATAATATTTTCATATCTGTATATTTCGAGATGAAAAAGAAATATTGAAGTAATTTCCTATCAAAGTTTACAAACCTAAGGCTGAATATACAGCACACAAGAACACTACATTAAAGTTATATTTGGTACGCCAATGAATATAGTAACACACCTTGTGAAATGTAATGTTTCCTAATCGATCAGAAGCTGCAGCTTCGTAGACTTCCACCAACTCCCCAACTCTATTGAAGTAAACCCCTTCACAGATCTTCTGCAAGTTCTCAAAAACAGGCTCAAAGGCAAGAACTTTAAACCCCATAACAGCAGCTGCAAATGTGGCCATTCCCACATTAGCCCCCACGTCCACAAAAATCCCATTTCTGCCATCCTCCTTCATTTTCTCCAACAACCGTTGCACAGTCTCAGATATGTCAGGCTTCCTGAAGGGCTTTCCCTTCAGTGTCCGGTTGATATTCTTGTGTGGCTTTTCTGGTAAATTTCCGAAGTCTGAGAGGGAGAAGAGGAACGGGTATTTGAGACCTTCCACTAGATTTGCAATCACAGGGTGCGCTTGAGGTGAGGAGTAGCAATCAAACGGCTTTAGAGAGCGCTCAAAGATCGGATTTTTGACAGATTTGAGGGTTCTTGGATATTGGTTCTGGGTTTGAGAGGCAAGGTAGAAGAAGATGAGGAGGAGGAGGGAGGTGGAGAGGAAGAGGAGAAGATTCTTCGGGTCGAGAATCTTGGTGGATTGGTTTCTTCTCAAACCATTTGCCATGGAAACTAAAAAAACTTGTTGGACTTTTTAATGGGGGCAAATCTTCGGTTCCTGGTGCTTCTTTCCCCCAAATAATGCAGGAAATAAATTGAGGGAACTGCAAGATTGGATCTTGATCCTTGGTAAAAATACTACTCCTAAGTGATCCGTTGCCTTCCAAACCAATGGGATTATTTTCCTTTACTTGATTTCTTGAGGTCTGCTAACCGAGAAGAATTGTTGTTTTTGTTAAGCAAATACGAGTTTTTAGTTTTTACTGGAACAAACTACTTAGAAGTGTTATAAATTGAGTTGTTACATCAGAGATGTTTAATTTGAGTAATATTTTTCTTTTTCTTCAAGTAATAATTAAAGAATACGTAGTACGTAGTTGTATTATAAAAAAAAATCAAGTTGACATGTTCAATTAAAAAATAAAAATCCAATACAAAAATATAATGAAAAATATAATTTGATATATTCAAGTAAAACATGAAAACACAATTACAAATTATCATTAAAATGTCATATGAGATATGCAATTAAAAAATAATTTAAAATAGCTCTACCAGAAATAAATAAAAATGTCATTTTGGCCCTACTCCATCCCTAATATTACTAAGCATATTTAGGGTTTGTTTGGTAACACACAAATTGAACAAATTAACTGATTCTGCTGAAAATAATTAAGTTCTGACCGAAACAATTAAATTTGTTGAATTAGGGATGAAATAATTAACATTAGTTTCTTGAACTATAAAATGGAGTAGAAATTTGCATAAGTTAAAATGGAACGATGGCAAGTCCAATCAAAGAGTTGAAAGCTGGAAAATTCTAAAGATTCTCCAAAATGGAGTACGCCATTTGCCCTCTGGCCATAAATGAGCAATTCTTTTAAATGGGGCACCACTTAAATGAGTTAGCTCATTTATGACCGCCCATTAGGGCGAGGGACAAACGGGTAGCTCTACAAGATTACAACCTTTTTCTTTTTTACATCTACAAGACTACAACTTGAAGTGCAACAAATGAGCATCTAAAAGGCAGCCACCAGTGCGCGTTGCATGCCACTAAGTAGAGCTGTCAAACGGGTCAACCTGACCCGACCCGTAACAGGTTATGCTTTTATGTGGGTTGGGTCGGGCCAACCCATTTAATGTCGGGCCAGAAATTCTACAACCCTAACTCAACCCACCTAACCCGTGAGTTAAACGGGTTGGCCCGCGGGGCAATGTGAAAAAATATAAAAACGAATTATTTAAAAAAAAAACAATTACCCGGAGTATATATTTATATTAGCAAGTAGTAACAAGGGAAATATAAGAATTCAAAATAATAAAAATTCAATACTTGTTAATTAATTAAAAAATATTAAATACTAGTTATACGAGAATTTGAAAACTATAAGAGGCTATGCGGCAATAATACTCATTGTATAAAAATAAAGATTTACATAACACTTTTGATTAATTATTTGCAAATAATGACTACTAATTGTTAAATATTGTATCGAACTTCACAAAAAATATATGTTTCAACATTTTGTTTGAATATTTATTATAGAAATAAAAGAGTAATACTTTTTAAATTGTAATAATAATAATAATATTGGTAGTAAAAGAACACTACTTTAGATAATAAAATTCAAAACTATATTTTTTTTTATTTTGGCTCGCAGGCCAACCTGTAACCCGATGGGCCAACCCACTTAAACCCGCAACTCGCGTGGGTTGATCCGCAAAACCCGTGAACTAAATGGGTCATGAATTCTCAACCCTAACCCATCAATAAATGGATTTGAACGGGTCAGCCCGCGGGTTTAGACACATTTTGACTGCTCTACCCCTAAGGCCCCAATTTCTTTGACCATCTCCTTCCTTTGGCCAGTTACAGTTTACCGCTCAAAAGCTGGCGAGACTGTGTAAGAAACAAGTTTTGGCATTCAAATTTGGATATCCATTCAAATTCTCTGTTGCACCTGCATCAAACTTGTTTGGCTCTGCTCAATGCAGAAAGTATTCCAAGAATTATGGGCTTCAGTGCCTTGTCGACCACCCGAATTCAGAAATCTCCGTCTTCTTCCAGAAAGGCTTCTCCGAGATCACCGACAAAATGACGGGAAGAGCAGTTCATGCAATATGCGTAAAGGAGTCCCATTTAGACATTTTCCACCATAATACTCTGATCAAAATGTATTCGAAGTTTGGGAGAGTTGAGTGTGCCCGTCACGTGTTCGACCAGATGCTTGAGAGGAACGAAGCGTCTTGGAATAACATTATCTCTGGGTACGTTCTTACAGGCCGGTATTGTGATGCAGTTAGACTATTCATTCAGATGTGGGGTGTAGGGGTTGAGGTAAATGAATATACTTTTGCTAGTGTATTGACTGCATTGAGTAGGTCTGAGAGTATGTGTCTTGAAGGATATCAAGTTCACGGTGTACTCTTGAAGTGCGGTTTATTGTATAATGTTTTTGTGGGAACTTCTGTGTTGCATTTTTATGGTGTCTATGGTCTTACTTCTGATGCTGCAAACGTTTTTGAGGAAATGCCTATGAAGAATGTGGTGACTTGGACTTCTTTGATGGTTACATGCTCCAACAATGGAAATACGGAGGAAGTTATAAGTTTATATAAGAGAATGAAGAGTGAAGGGACCAGTTGTAATCAGAACACCTATACTGTAGTGATTAGTTCGTGTAGTTATCTTGAAGGTGATTGTGTGGGTCATCAAGTGCTAGGCCATGTCGTAAAATCAGGGTTTGAGGATAATGTTTCAGTGGCTAACGCTCTAATTTCGATGTTTGGTAATTTTAACTTTGTAGAAGAGTCTTATCATGTTTTTGAAGGCATGACTGAACGTGACACTATATCTTGGAATTCAATCATATCTGTTCTGGCACATAATCAACTTTGTGAGGAAGCATTTAGATGTTTCTATTTTATGCGTTGTCAACACAATGATATAGATTCAACTACACTTTCCTCCCTTTTGTCAGCCTGTGGTTCTGTGGATAATATAAATCAAGGTAGAACAATGCATGGTTTGGTGATCAAACTGGGATGGAATTCAAATATATGTATTTGTAACACTCTTCTTTCAATGTATGCGGATGCTTTACGATGTTCAGATGCTGAAAATTTGTTCCACAACATGCTAGAGAAGGATTTAATTTCTTGGAATTCTATGATGGCTGGGTATGTTTTGATAGGTGACTTCTTCAAAGTCTTAAACTTTCTTACTGAATTGCTTCACATGGGAAAGTCAGTAAGCTATGTGACTTTTGCTAGTGCGCTGGCTGCATGTTCTAATGCTGATTATCTAACTGAAGGGAAGATATTGCATGGACTTGTTATGACATTTGGGTTGCAAGACAATTTGATAGTTGGAAATGCATTAGTCACCATGTATGGGAAGCATGTTATGATGGTGGAGGCTGAAAAAGTGTTCTTTAAGATGCCAGTAAAAGAGTTGGTTACTTGGAATGCATTAATTGGTGGCTATGCTGCTGGTCATCAAACCAACGATGTGGTAAGAATTTTTAAATGGATGAGAGAATGCAGTGTGACCTCAAACTACATTACAATAATAAATGCACTTGGCTCCTGCTCATCTCCTGTTGATCTCCTGAGTGCTGGAATGCCGTTGCATGGGCATATAGTTCTAACTGGTTTCGAGGAAGATGAATATGTGCGGAACTCACTCATAACTATGTATGCCGAATGTGGGGATCTCAAGTCAAGCAACTTTATCTTTACTCAGGTGGCTTACAAGTCTTTTGTGACTTGGAATGTCATGGTTTCTGCAAATGCCCACCATGGCCTCTGGGAAGAGGCTTTGAAGCTTCTTCTTGATATGCAGAGGGCTAACGTGGAGTTGGATCAATTTAGCCTTTCTTCTTCCCTTTCAGCTGCAGCAAACCTGGGGAGTCTGGAGGAAGGCCAACAACTTCATTGCTTGGCTACTAAACTTGGTTTTGACTCGTACCATTACATAACAAATGCTACGATGGATATGTATGGGAAGTGTGGTGAACTCAAATATGTGCTCGAAATCCTCCCTAAACCAAATACCCGATCACGCTTGTCTTGGAACATTTTGATGTCTACATTAGCCAGACATGGACTTTTTCGTGAAGCCAGGGAAGCCTTCCATGAAATGCTTAAGCATGGTGCAAAGCCTGATCATGTTACTTTTGTCTCTCTTCTGTCTGCATGTAGTCATGGGGGCTTAGTGGATGAGGGTCTCAAGCATTTTGCTTCAATGAGTACCGGTTTTGGGGTCCCAGTTGCTATAGAGCACTGTGTGTGCATGGTTGATATGCTTGGAAGATCAGGAAGACTTGCTGAAGCAGAGGCGTTCATCAAAGAAATGCCGGTGCCTCCAAATGACTTTGTTTGGCGGAGTTTGTTGGCAGCATGTAGGATGCATGGGCATGCCGACCTGGCAAAAAAAGCTACCGACTTTCTTCTGACAACTAATCCAATGGATGACTCTGCTCATGTTCTGTATTCCAATGTCTGTGCGAATTCTGGGAAATGGCAGGATGTCCAGATTGTTAGAGCCAATATGGAATTAAGCAGCATCAAGAAGCAGCCGTCTTGCAGTTGGGTTAAAATGAAAGACAAAATTTACACTTTCGGTATCGGAGACCGATCCTACTCATTGTCTGAGCAGATATATGACAAATTGGGGGAGTTGAGGAAAAAACTTCAAGAAATTGGATATGTCCCTGATACAAGTTTCGCTTTGCATGACACGGATGAGGAACAGAAGGAACACAATCTCTGGTGCCATAGCGAGAAACTTGCCCTTGCCTATTCTTTGGTTACTACCCCAGAAGGTTCAAAGCTTCGGATTTTCAAGAATCTACGAGTTTGTGGTGATTGTCATTCCGTCTTTAAACTTGTAAGCAGCTTAGTCAGGAGAGAAATCATATTGAAGGATCCTTATCGGTTTCATCATTTTAGTGGTGGCAAGTGTTCTTGTGGTGATTATTGGTAACCATGTCACGATGTTATGGTGAGTGGTGACTTGCCAAACTTATCCAAGAATCAACCAAAAGATATGAATGAAAAACATTCTATAAGCACTGGAAGTTTCTTATGTGGGTAAGTTTTGTTCATAGCAATGACAGAACTTCATCTAGAATATACAATAGCTTGAGTTGATTGAAGTTTGTTGCCCTTCATGTACTCACTTGTCAAAAATTAAATGGAACATATGGCTTTAATGAGTAAGGAAATTTAAGGATGAATCTTTGA